TTTTTCTTGTTTACTACTGGTGGTTGACTTTGGTCGCAGCACCGCCACCTTCTGCTCTGGAGTGTACCCGCGTCGCCTATGAGAAAAAGGAGCAGCTCATGAACCGAACGCAACACACACTAACCGAACTGAGACAGCCGAATCGAACGGTTCGGACGGTTTTCATAAACCGTTCCATCCCTACTCTATACTATACGTATTTCCTGTTTGGTACCTTACCGGCTTGTTTTGTTTGTAGGACCAACATTGTGGAAAACGACTTGTGAATTTGGACCAGCTAGAAGTGTGATGTGCGCGAGAACGCTGGGACCCTTTTTCCATCAGGATCCCCACTCGTTTTCGCCCTCATGTCCCTCCGTTGTCGGACAAACTTGCCCCCACTTCCTAACTGCCTCGGCTGTATCTAGACCCACAGCTAGTTCAGCTAGTTTCTCTTTTTGCATTGTAGTGTGGAATAAACATAGGGCAGACCACACTTCAATATCAGGAATAAATCAAAAATGTTTGTGTCAAGCTCACTGCGACACGCTGCTGCGGGAGTATAACCAGCCCTTTAGAGGGTCTATTGAGAAGAGGCGGGTCGTAAAGCTTGCTGCTCGATGGTGATTGGCAAACATACTTCAGGATTCCAGACTGACAGTGGGGATCATTTAGTCAGGACAGTCATCTTGTTTTGAACTCCTGCCAAGGTTTCTTTTTATTATTTCAGAGCTTCTCACATCAGCTATTTTCACCTGTCTAATGTGTTTTATGTATTTTAACATTTTTTAATGTGATACGTGTCGTTTGGATTTAATTAACACCAATGAGCCTCCCCTGTTTCAGAGATCAGCAGCTATTACTGCACTGCAGGGAAGTTTAGTTAATTTGTCTGAACAGTGTTCTTCCTATCTTTGAAAAAACATGCTGCGATATAAACATAAAAAGCTCCTTCCTGGGCTTCACTCAGCTACATTGATGACCTCTGATGACAACCAGGCACCGAGACCACATGTGTGAAAGTCACTAATGGCACACATGGTTTCTGTGGGATGTATCTGGTTTGAGTGTGGCTGGTATGCTGTTAGCTCTGACCTGCTTAGAATCTGTCAGGTGATAATCAGGTAAACAAGAAGATGAGGGAGACCATGATATATATATATATATATATATGTATGTTTCTGTCATTTTATTCCTACTCAGTGTGACAGGTGTCAGGTCTCCATGGGCAGCAATCAGTAAAGGATTGGTGAAGGCTGCCAGAAAGAGATTGTGACGGTAGAATCTGCAAAGTCAAAGCAAGCTTTAGCAGCATTTTACCATCAGAATCAATGTGGTAGATTCAAATAATTCCTTTATGTTGAATCTGTGGCTTTAAGGTCAAGATAATCCAAAGAAGGCAGCTGGACTTTTTCTATTATTGTAGAAGAAGTTTTACTTTTAGCCTAAAGGCATCTTCCTAAATCGTCTTTGTGAGTTGAATAAATTGTCAGAAACGGCTACAATCATGGAACATGTTGACCTGAAACCCAGGCCTCCATTCTTCCTCTGGCTGCTGTATCCAGAGAAATGTTTTTAGTCTCACATTTTAAAGAATGAATGGTTGCAGAACCGAGCAGGGAAATGGACCAAAGCTGTCCTGCACATTTTAGACATGTAACCCCCAAGCCTACATTCTTTTAGGTTCAGATTCAATTTTTTGGAGCATGAAATGATCATCAATTGATTACAAAAAATTAACATAAAATCTAGGGTTGTAACTGACGATTTTGTTTGTAAATTGATTTATCTGTCGATTCATTTTTTGATTAGTCGATTCATAATCAGATAGCCTGAGATTCCTGAAATATTTTTGTACGAAATCAAATCAGATGAAACTAAAGCTTTTTCACTCGAGGAGTTCTGGATAGAGCAAAATGACAGATAAAAACCTCTGAAATTCAAAATGTTTATATATTTCTTTACAATTTTGATATAATTACTGCTCTAAGTGGGTTGCTCTGTCAGCTAAAGTCATGTTTTAAAGTCTCTACTCTACAGTTAATGATTAATGGATTACTAAACTAGTTGAAGATTATTTCAATAATTGATTAATCAAGATTAATCCAATCCAGCCCTAATAAAGTTATAAAAGGATATTTGATTTGTAAAGTTGAATGGGAGCTCACTTAGAGTAATGAGTTTGGAGTTCTCCAGCTTCTTGATAAAGGATCCAGGTTAAAATCCCCACAACAGGAGAGGAATCATTTGGTGTAGAAGCACTAAATCTCTCGCCTAGTCGGTAAAGGCCTGTTCTGGCATCCCTCAGGGGGCAGCGCTCAGGCTATTAGCGAAGGGTAATCTGGACCCTGTGCAGCATGAGTGACTGTTTGATTGCCATTCGCTTTTAGCCAGAGGAGTCATCTGATTTTTCCCAGTTGAAGAAAATTGTATTTACCATCAGGATTAGCCCTTTCCTGTTTGCAGTCAGTTATTGGAAAGTAGGTAATGTACCGAGTAAAACTGCTTATGTTGAGTCATGTTAATGGAGGATTGATTGGAGCAGGATAGCAGCGTATTTGTTGATTGTGATTATGGCTGGGTGTTTTTGCCAAAGTCCTGAATCGATTCAATTTTAATTTGTCGAGTTCTAAATAGATAAATTTTGATTCGATCTGTTTTTACAGTAATGAAAGTGGTTCAACTGTGTTTCAAAATACTCATGTATTTTATTTATCCTGTCATATTAAACGCAAAGTGCAAACTTGTAAATCAGACAGTTTAAACTTGAGATGTGAACAAAACTGTCTCAAAAGTACAAACTTTTTTGTGAAAAGTGAAAAACTGATACTTCACTTGAGCAAGCAGACGTGACACAGCAGACATGCATGAGCTGCATTATCTTCAATGCACAAACAATATTTGCAGCGTTGTCTGTAACAACTACAGGGTGTTTGCTGGTCAGCCCTAGGGCTGGGCGATATAGAAAAAAAGCTTATCGATAAAAAAAAATGCATATTGATCGATATCGTTAATTATTGAAAAGATTTGAAACCATATTTTATGTGCAGCTCTGCCTTGACTTTTTATAATATTGCTAAATGATTTAATTTTAATAAAAAACACAAACACAGACTTC